TTAACCTCCACCTCCTCCTCCTCCTCCTCCTCCTCCTCCTCCTCCTCCTCCTCCTCCTCCTCCTCCTCCTCGGGACCCCCACCCACAGCATTGGGGGGCAAACCGGGTCCCGAGGGAGGCGGGTCCTGGGCCCTGCGGCCCTCCCCCAGGGCGAGATCTTCCTCCACCGCGCACGGGAGCGAGCGCCCCGGAAGTCTGCTCGCGCTCGAGCTCAGGAGGTGCAGAGGGGGAGGGAGGGAGGGAGGGGGGAGGAGGGGGAAGGAGGGGGAGGGGAGGGGGGAGGAGGAGGTGCAGAGGGGGAGGGAGAGGGGGAGGGAGGGAGGGAGGGAGGGGGGAGGGAGGGAGGGGCTGGGGCCGCCTTCTCCCCTCCTCGTCCTGGCGCTCACCACACGGGGTCGTTTTCCGACCGCCCCCCAAAGGGCCCCGCCCCGGGGCGAGATCTTCCTCCGCCACGTACGGGCGCAGGCGCCCCGGAACGCGGAGCAGGGACCGACCGCCCCCGGCATTCCTGCAGCCCTGCCACCGGGGACCCAGACCTCCTCGCGCTGTGACAAAAATCTCGACGGGAGGTTTTTCGCCATTTTCGGCCTCCGGGGGCCCTTCCCGGGCCTCGGGGCCGTCAAAAAACGATTCAGGATGAAAAACCGGTCCTGGGGAGAGGGTCCAGACTTTTGGGGGTCGACGCTGCAAAAGAATCACGACGTCGGGGGTCTGGGCACGACATGTTCTTATAATCCAAAAAGGCTCTTTCTAAGAACAAAAGCAATGTTCTTAGAATCTTAACCGATGTGTCAAACCAAGACAGTCTCAATCAGACATGTTCTAAGAACACTTCGTGCAAACCACGAGAGGTTCTCAGAACATTCTTTGGTGGGCCTATAGGTGAGCCGGGACGCTTCGCCACTGCTTGACGGAAGTCTGCTCGCGCTCGAGCTCAGGAAGTGCAGAGGGGGAAGGCGGGAGGGAGGGGGCAGGAGGGAGGGGCTGGGGTCGCCTTCTCCCCTTCCCTTCCTGGCGCTCACCACACGGGTCCTTTTCCGACAGCCCCCCAGGGCCCGTGGGGGGGGCCCGAGAAGCCAAGAGCGGCCACAAAAACTGCAGGACCCGTTTCCCTCAGGACAGGGCTCGACCGGAGCAGTGTCCCTCGTCTTGCCTCCGTTCCGCCTGTTGTTGCTGCACGGCGACGCCAAAACGAAGACGGCCATCGAAATCGCCCAAACACCGCTCAAGACTCCCGGGGGCGCGCAGACATGGATCGGGGGAGGTGCCCTCCCCAACATGCGGCTGGTGCCGCCTCGCTCGGCGGCGGAGATTCGCGCTTCCCCACGGAAACGGGACCCGTCGCCAATCCGCGCCCCCTCGATCCGTGTTTGCGATCGCCCGCGAAGGAGGCCTTCGAGGCCTTCTGAGAAGCCCCGGAGGTCCGGACCACTTCCCCGGGACCGGTTCTTTGTCCTGAGTCGTTTCTCGACGCTCCCGAGGCCCGGCGAGGGCCCCCGGAGGCCGAAAACGGCCAAAAGCCAGCGGCCCCAAGTTTTTCGGAGCGTCGGATCTCAGGGACCGAAGAGCTCTGATCGCCTGAAAGTCGAGCCCTGCCTCACCTTGACTCCAGATCCGTCCTACTTCGGGGAAAATCGCAAGTAGGGCTTGGAATTTCCGCCTTACTTTTCAAGCCCCGCCAATGCCAATTTCCGCCCTACTTTCCTGTTGCTGTTTCCGCCCTGCTTCTGTGGATGTCCGCCCTGCTTTACGTTGGGTGCAGAAATTTCCGCCCTACTTCTTCGGCTTCTTCTAGGTGGATTTCCGACGCAATCTCAAGTTGGAAAAAAGCCAAAAGTAGGGCGGATCTGGAGTCAGGGCAGTTGGGGCCTGGGGAGCACGACGCTGTCCTCGTCGGGCCGCCTCGGGGCGCGGAGGAGAGAGCTCCGTCGAGGTCCCCGCCCGCCCCCAGGGTGTCCCTCAGGGTCAAGTCGGGCGTGTCCCTCTACAGGAGGAGTATCCAGAAATGTTCAAAGAATACTCAGAAATTGTCCAAATAGTGAAAAACATACTCAAGACCCAGACCCCCGACGTCGTGATTTTTTCACAACGTCGACCCCCAGAGGTCCGGACCCCTTCCCCGGGGCCGGTTCTTCGTCCTGAGTCGTTTTTTGACCGTCCCGAGGCCCAGGAAGGGCCCCCGGAGGCCGAAAATGGCGAAAACCCTCCCGTCGTGATTTTTTCACGACGCCAGGAGGTCTGGGGAGTCAGGGCTGCCTCTGGACCCGTCCCCTCCCCCCCCGGCGGACCCCCGGCACCCCCGAGAGCGCCGCGGAGGGAGCGGGGCGTGCCCCTGCTCGGGACCCGGGCGCCCGCGGGCTCGCTGCGGCCGCCGCCCCAGGCCCCCGGCGTCGTGCTCTGTTGCACGGTGCCGACCCCCAGAGGTCTGGACCCCCTCGCGCTGTGAAAAAATCACGACGGGAGGGTTTTCTCTATTTTCGGCCTCCGGGGGCCCCTCCCGGGCCTCGGGACCGTCAAAAAACGACTCAGGATGCAAAGCCGGCCCCGGGGAAAGGGTCCAGACCTCTGGGGGTCGACATGGTGAAAAAATCACGACGTCGGGGGTCTGGGGTCTGGACCCTGTTTCGACGCTGCTTCGAGCCCAGAGGTCCTACGCATTGAAAAAATATCCAGGCGGGCGTGTTTCGCAGTCTTCGGTCTCTCGGGGCCCTCGCCGGGCCTCGGGACCGTCAAAAAACGGCTCGGGATGACAAACCGGTCCCGGGGAAAGGGGCGGGACTTCCGGGGGCCCCGTATTGAAAAAATCACGACATCGGATCTCAGGGAGACTGTTCCGATACTTTTTCGACACTCTTCCAGGTGCTCGCAAGTTCTGGGATCTGGTCCTGAAGTACGATGGGAGCAACATAACCCAAGGCTCACTCGGCGCAGGAGGCCTCATGCCCAGACCCCCGACGTCGTGATTTTTTTGCAGCGTCGAGCCCCAGAGGTCTGGACCCTTTCCCCGGGACTGGTTTTTCATCCTGAGTCGTCTCTTGACGGCCCCGAGGCCCGGGAAGGGCCCCCGGAGGCCGAAAATGGCGAAAAAACCTCCCGTCGTGTTTTTTTCACAGCGCGGGGAGGTCTGGGGTCGTCGTCGTCGTCGCAGGGGGCGGGCCCCGAATGAAGGCGCGGAGTCCATGCCAGACGCGTGGGCCGTACGTGGTGCGATCTGCGCGTGGTGCAGGCTGTGTGGCGCGAGCTACGCGGGGTCGGCCACGCGGTGCAACCTGCGTGCGGCAGGCCACGTGGTGCTGGGCGCTGCGGTGCAGAAGCCGTGCGGCGCACGCTGCGCACGCCGCACGCTGCGCTCTTGCAGTCTGCGCGGTGCAGTCTGCGCGTGGCGCTGGCCGTGTGTTCGCAAGCTGTGCGGTGCAAGCCATGGGAGGAGGAGGAGGAGGAGGAGGAGGAGGAGGAGGAGGAGGAGGAGGAGGAGGAGGAGGTGCAAACTGTGCGGCGCAAGCTGGGCCGTGCACGCGACGTGCTGCAAGCCGTCGAGCACGCGGCGCACGCGGGGCGCCCACGCGGGCGGGCACCGGGCGCAACCGTGGCGTGCCCGCCCCCAGCGCGGGGCGCCCGCGAGGGGCCCGCGAGGGGCGCCACCGACGGGGCACCGGCCGGAACCCCCGCGTGCCCATCCTGAGGGGCCTGTTTTCCACGACCACCACCAGAAGTTGGAGGGGGCGAGGGGGTGGAGGAGGAGGAGGAGGAGGAGGAGGAGGAGGAGGACGAGGAGGAGGAGGAGGAGGAGGAGGAGGAAATCAGGCCCATCACATCCAGCTCCTCGAGTGAGCTAAGCAGGAGCCCCTGTGCAGGCACTGTTTGGGGGGCACATCCGAAAACGATAGCTGGCAAGGCCTGAGCACAACTGGCGCCAGCGCCCGTTCGGATCAGGAACCGATGTGGAACAAAGTAAGTGTCGCACCTCAGACCACGAACGCTGGCGGCTCATCTGAAGAAGCTGTGCCCAGATCCAGGGGTTGCACCAACGTGTAATCCCAATACCCGTACTTACAATCCACGCAGCCTGTCTTCGGTCCGTGCGGACAAGCGGCGGCACCGCAGACGCCGTTGAACAGGTGCGTCATCTGTCCAGCCACGTTGAAGTTCAGCTTTGGCCGCTCGCGAGTAGCGACGGTAACTGTTTCACCAGTAGTGAGCTTGACCTGTGTGCCGTAGGGCTGTACGGCGGAGGTGCGCCACGTAAACCCATCTTCAGAAAAGGCGTGTGCCGACACTGTCGAGTCGACGCACTCGTGGCCGTGGGGCGGATGCTCAACGGTGTTGTACACGTGGTAGATCAAGTGCCACCCCCGATCAGTGTTGTACAAGAATGGGTCCTCGTAGTGCCCAGGCGGACCCCCAGCATGGGAGAAAGTGGCGACAGTTGTCCAAGGCCCTGATATGCTCTCAGAGCGCCTGAAGGAGCCGCCACACACAATGTAGATCGTGCCGTTTTTGTGCACCCACGGGGCCGGGTTGTTGCACCCCCCCAGCGTGTTGACCTTCAAAGGAAGCCAGGGACCGTCCAAGGAAGCTGCATAGTGGATGGTGGAGCCGGCTGACGCCGACGGCTCGTTGCTGGCCATGTCCTGCAGATCGCGCTGTCGATCCTCCTCTGCGTAAGCCACGCCAACCGCACGGTCCTGCGAACAATTCTTACCTCCATCTGGTGGTCCGGCACCCGTGCCGATGTGAAAGATGGCGTACGTACCGTCTTTCAGCGCAACGGGGGCCGCATTGTGCGCCCACGTGTTGATGGCCACATCCTTGAAAGTGTATGGACCTGTTATGGTCTTGGCGACGGCATGCTCGATCCGAGAGTTGCCGCCCCACGTCGATAACGGGCACCCATTGGTCATGGCACTAACGAACAGATGGTACTCCTGCGTCTTCTCATCATACAATGCATTGCCACCCCAAGTGGTGAGGTTGGGGCTCATGCCGTAGCCCTGCACGGGGGCCACGGGTAAGAAGGCCATCGAGTCGCATGCAGGCCCTGACCATGGCTTGTCGCAGGCACACACACCATTCTGACAAGCGCCGTTCAAGGAGCAATCTCCGTCAGTTGTGCATGCCGCCGCCGCCGCCGCCGTGGCGGTGTGCACCGACGGTGACGTCGCAACCCACGCCGCACAACACCATAGCGCACGCGGGAGCGGGGTAGCGCCTGCCATCGCGTCCGTCGGCCAAGAACCCTAAGATGCGAGGGATGAACAAATTATCCAAAGCAACTCAGGCAAAAGGCTTGTGCCAAAACGGCTACGGAGGGTTGATGATAATGATGCTGACTATGGTCATAGTCATGGTCATCATGGTCATCATGGTCATCGTCACCCCTGGCGCGTCAGGCGCCAAGTCGCGATGCGCCAGCCTGATCCAGCTGGAGGCGGGACTCACAGCGACCATTGATCCTCATGCCCACTCAGTTCGGACACGACAGTCAAATAAGACAAGCCTGGGATGTGACGCCCCCAAGCTCCGACGGTTCCGCCGGGTGGGGCTGGACATCAAGTGCCTGTGTCTGGGATCACATGCTGTGGCGCGCTACTTGTAAGCCATTTGACGAACATTGTACGCTCTTTTGGGGCCCGGATACGAAGAGATACTTTTATCATCCGATGTAAGTCTCTCATACAAAATTAGGGTGGAGGGTGGGCCAGATCGAACACAGATGCGAAAATTCTGGACTCTTTAATCTCTATGCGGCCTCGGTGTTTGTGGATGGGGGGCTTGCCCAGTCCCAGGCCAGGAGGGTGAAACCTAACCACAACAAGCTCCGCCCGCGCATTGCAAGCTTATTCGCGCCCTTTCCTTGCTAACGTCCTCTCCCCTCACAAATACCACTGCAATGGAGCATCCAAAAGCTGCAGTTTGAAGAAATACTGTAGTACTAGTGGTTGGAGGGCCTGGATGTGCCATTGCTTCGTCCTGCTGGTTTGGGCATGTAGCTGCGACGAGCCATTTGCATCCTACAAATTATGCTGCACCTACTGCTGGCACCACGTCTACGACCGACTACTACTACTACTACTACTACTACTACTACTACTACTACTACTACTACTACTACTACTGCTACGACGACGACGACAACGACTACTACAACTACTGCTAATCCGACGACTACGACTACTACTACATCACTACTACTACTACTACTACTACTATTACTACTACTACTACTACTCCTACTACTACTACTACTACTGCTACTACTACTACTACTACTACTACTACT